CTCTGACTTTATTTTAAAAAGCATAAATTAAATCGGTCTTTTCTGGCCGAGAAATTAGGGGATGTCACAAATTGCGACTAAAACCCTTTGGAAACCTTGGAGAAGACCAGAAATCAATTAGAGCTCAAGAGTTGAAGAGATTTAGGAGAATTCTACATAGATCTATTCGGTTTTCTAAGCAGTACTAATGTCTAGTCTAAGTTGCATTGATATAGTGTGTTTTTATGTTATTATGAGAGGCTAAAAACCTTATACTTCTGTTTGGTGAAGATGAACCTAAACCTTATGTGTTGATTTCGATTTATGGATAATTTATATTGATTTTACTTGTGTTTGAGAATAAAAACCCTAGCATGTTTTAATTCTAGTTTATATTGCTTATTAATCAAGTTATGTGTAATGGATGATCATTCTAGTTGCATGAATTTGTTACCTAATTGTTTATGATCATTTGATAATTAGAGTTGGGATTAATCTTATCTTACATTATGTAATTTAAGCTAGTAACTTTAATTGTGTTAGAGAGCATAATTAATCTTAACTTGTGATTGGTTGCTTGACTTGATTATAGGTAAGTAACTATTAGATTTATCATTGATAGTCTAATTTGTATTTATTATCGATTTTGTGTTTAACATGTTCTTGATCATTGCATGATAATTCATAAATTTGTATATCTAGGTATTTGATCATAATAGCTTTACTGAATTGGTAATCAATATAATCCATCCGCTAGAAATCAATCATAAGAGAAGGTGAAATCGGAACTGAACAAAAGTACTCTTTAATCTTTAAGTAAATTCGGTTTCTTTGTTTGATTAGTTTATTTGATAATAATTGAATTAAGTTCTTCTGATCTTGCGAAATCAGTAAAAACCCCGCTTTAAGTTTGTTTTCTTAGTTTAATCAGAAGTAGTTATTTTATAAATTAAATTTTGTTCCCTGTGTTCAACACCCGACTTACTAAAGCTATTCTATAATCCGACTAGGTACACTGCATATAGGTGCATAAATTAGTTAAGTTAGTTAGGTTATAAATTTAAAACTAGGTAGGTATAATTTTGCACATCAGTAAACATCCTTTAGATCAGTTTGTAAACAAGAGAGATTCTTTTTTTTTAGAGCTCAAGTGATGTGCCACCTTTTTTGAGTGATTGTAATAGTTCATGGAAGTTTAATAAACTATTGTCTCTCTCGTTCGCTTGTAGACGTGGGTCACTTTAACCGATCCATGTTAAATTTCGTGTTTCGATTTTATAATTTTTCGGTTGTAGTTTTTTCAGAAGTTTTGTTCCGCAAGTTTCATCGAAGATTGTTTGATATTTGTCCGGAGTGCTTAACTTGTGGTTGTTGTATTTTCAACAAACTGGTATCTGGGCTTGACAAGTGTTGTCCGACCTCTTCTGACTCTTGGCAAGTGATATTTGATTCCCAAAAGTCGATGGTGCTTGAGAGGTCTCCGATGACTGCTTTGGGAGTTGGAAGCGTCGATCTACAAAAAGAAGGCAAATGCCAATTGGGGAGGAACGTCGGGGTGGGGGTGTTATTAATTTTTTTTTCTTATTTTCTAAATGGTTTTAATTAAATAAAAATGTAAAAGAATTTTAAATTTTATAGAAGTCTTTTTATGTGAGTACGTTCCATGAAGTTTTTTGAAGATAGACACTAAAGCTTAGATCCTAAGAAACCACAAGGCCATTTATAAAGTTTTGTCTATTTGAATTAAATTTTTAGACTCATTTTAATTTAGATTTTAAATGATATTGATGTATCATTTGTCATATTAGATTAGATAACTCGATTTGTACTTTTGGTTATAAACTTATCATGTTTTATATTTTATTTATATGTGAATGGATTGATATAAGTTATGAGATAAGATTTTCTTATATTGCATGTTTTTATTCCTTAATGTTGGAAACTTAGACTTATGATCTTCTATTATATAAGTTCAAGTTCAAAAATCTTTTATAAGAACTTGAGTTATAGTTGATCTTTGAAGTAATTACAACTAATAAGAAAGAAATTAATCATTTTTATAGAATCTTTTGATAATTATTCGATCTTATAATTACAAGTTTGCAAAGTAAACAAAAAATCTCAATCAAGATTTCAATCTTGAAAACCTTTATTCAAAAAACTAGAAACAAATCATCAAAAAATTTCCTTTAAGTTTTTTCCGTGTTTTAAAAACTCATGATATTTATAATATGATCTTCAAGTTTCTCCCCCGTTTACTTTTAAACCATTCTCTTTCTCTACAAAGAACTGCTCAATAAAATTACAATCCATACAATTATTTGGTTTTAAGAGAAGTATTTATTAAAATAAGTATAAATCTATCTTGGTACCTCTAAATTTAAACATACAATTATTTGGATACTTAACTTTCTAACTATGTGCTCAATATAAAACATTAACTCTTACAAACTTCATAATCTTTCAAAAAAATCCTAATATGCTTTCATGTTACGGGTGTTGATTGTTCCGGGGAAGAATTTCATTAATACATTGAAGTTAAAAGTCTAAAGGCAACTATACTTTTATTCTGATATATACTAGATTTTAATTCATTTTCAGATGCTTCTGTTTGGTAAGCTAAAGCAAAATATACCAAACATTATGAGGGTGTTTGAGATTCCTTTTAAAATGATTTTTGACTTTTAACTTTTCCAAAAGGTCAAAAAAAATAAAAACCAAAAGATGTTCGGATAATGGAAAATATCTTTTGAAAATAAGTTTTTGTGTAGAAAGAAAAATGGTGTTTCTAAAAGTCATGAAAACTTGACTTTTTGAGACTTTTTAACCCCTATAAATTTAATTTACATTTATACCCTCAACTACCCTAATAATCAATCCACCCAACTACTACATTCTTCAACGTTCATCAGCTCCGCTCGCACCCTCGTTCTCTCCGGTCACTGTATCGATCGGTCACCAATCCTCTCCGACTGATGATCCTCCTTCAATCAACCACCGTTTCCGGCGTCGCCTTCCTCCATCTCCAATCGGGTAAGCTTCACCTCCGATTTGGTTTTTCTTTTGTGCCGATTTTTGATTTTCACCAGTAAAGAAAATGCCTCTGTCGATTTTTGATTTTCCTTCCACCATATTGATTTCTTTCTTCGATTATCATACCTATGATGTTCTGATTTTTTATTATTATACTTGTTGTTTCTTCCAATTTATCTCTTCTGATTTTGACTTTTGGGTGTATTGATATGTATTGTGTTGTTGTGTTGTGTTAATAGGTACCGATTTGTGGAATTGATGAAAGATTGCTTAGAAATTTGTGAAATTGATGAAATTCATTGTTGTTCCAATTTGTTTCTTCTTATTTATACTTGTGTTGTTTCTTCCATTTTTGTTTCATTTTTTCAATTTTTATTAACTAGAATTCATGAAAGATTGACTAGCAATTTGTGAAATTGATGAAACATTTTTTTTTCTGGTTTGCAGTCTCTTATTTCTGTGAATTGGTGTTACTTTGGTTTGATGTTAGGTGATATTTATGTTGTTTAAATGTTGATACTATGTAATTCTCAGATAATGGATGAAAACCACATTAATGTTGTTGAGTGTGAAACATCTTTAAAAAAGAAAAAACCAAAATTCTTATGGGATAACCTTACCTTCATGGTGTCTGTCGATGCATTCTTAACTGAAATGAGAAAAGGCCATAGACCCGGTACTCACTTTGATAAGGTTGGGTGGGAGAATTTACAAAAATGCATGAAGGACAAAACAGGCTACGACCTTGAAAAAAACAACTAACAAACAAATGGGAGAACATGAAAAAAGAGTGGAAGCTTTATGACCGCTTAATGAGGCTTGAAACCAGACTCGGTGAAACGAGAAGCCTAATAGAGGCATCTCCTGAGTGGGAGGAGAAAATAAAGGTATGATTTACTATTCTTTTAAATTATTTTAAGTTATGATTGCATAGGAAAATTGATGAATTAAACATCATATTTTTGTCTTGCAGGAGAATAAAGAATATGCCAAATTTAGGAACACAAATTTGAGCATATTTGATGAGAAATATGCTCTTCTGTTTCGAGATTCTGTTGCCGTTGGAGATCAGACTATGACTCATTTACAATTTCAAAACAATACCAATCTGAACGAACAAAATATGGAGGGAAATGGAGATAGTGATGAAATCAATTTAGAGGATGATGAGCCTCGTTTTCCTAGTTTCCATGAAAGTAGTTCAAGTAAAAGGAAGAAGTCTAAGCTTGTTTCCAACAACCGATCAACCAATAGTAAAAGTTCAATTTATGAGGAAAAAGTAAATGCTTTATTGGAAGTCATATCAACAAAAAACACACAAACTTTTCTACAAAGTAATCCTTCCCCAACAATAGCAGATTGCATGGCCATTGTCATCAAGTTTCCCGATTTTCGTGAAGGATCCAAAAATTTTTCACAAGCATTGATTGTCTTCAACAAAAAAGCTTAATTGTGAAGCTTTTATGTTTCCAATGACTAATGAAGCCAAGATGGAGTTCCTTAAGTTACTTATGAAGTAATGATTTGTCAATTGACATCATATCTTATCGTTTTATGTGTTATGCTTTGACATTATGTGTTATGCTTTGACATTATGTGTTGTCCTTTGAAGTTATGTGTTTGACATTTTATAATATGTACTATTGTTTGTCGTTATGTAATCAACATTTTATATTATGAATTATGTATTTGACATCTTTTTCTTTGTATTATGTAGGATAGATAGTGATGACTCTAATTCATCTAATGATAATGAAGAATGTTGGGTGGAAGAGAATAGATAATTTGAAATGTTATGTGGATTAGCTTTGAAAGGGATAATACTAGCTCGTAATGTACGTAGGTCATGTCACATTTCAGACCGCACAACACACGACACATGTTTATTAATGAAGTATTAAATGGTCATCCTAGACGGTGTTATGATATGTTTAGACTGCACATACCAGTTTTTAGACAATTATGCATAGATCTTGCTACAAATTAAGGACTGCAACAAACACGAAATATATCTATTGAGGATTCTGTAGGAATATTCTTGATGAATTTGGCTCATTGGTGTAGCAATAGATTTGTGCAAGAATTTTTTAATCATTTGGAAGAAATGATTCATAGGCATTTCCATACAGTTTTGGAAGTCGTGCTAAAGTTGAGTGTCGACATCATCAAGCCAGACGCAAACTATAATGATGATTTTCCTGAATATATATTAAATAAACCTTGGTATAATCCAATGTTCAAGGTATTATCCAATGTTCAGTTACTTGGTAGTCAAACTTTAACAAATTATTTATTTATGATATTTTTGTATTTGAAGGATTGCATTGGTGTTATAGATGAGACACACATTAGGGCATCAGTTCCACAAAAAGAGGAAGTGAAGTATATTGGTCGAAAGGGATATGCAACACAAAATATAATGGTTGTTTGTTATTTTAACATGTGTTTTATATTTGTATGGGCTGATTGGGAGGGTACTACACATGACACACGAATTTTCAATGAAACCTTACAAAGACCAGATCTTAGTTTTCCATATCCAACGGGTGGTTAGTATAATTTTTTAGTAACACAAGTTTTATGTTTTCAATACTTGTTTGAAATGAATAACAAATGTTTGTTTTATTTATAGATAAATATTACGTTGTTGATGACGGATATCCAAATACCAGAGGGTACCTTGCTCCATACAAAGGCGCAAATATTCGTTATCATTTACCGGATTTTCGACATGGACACATGGCTGCTATTCATGAACCTCGTGGACCGAAAGAGAAATTTAACTATCTCCACTCATCATTGCGAAATATCATTGAACGAACTTTTGGAGTATGGAAAACTAGGTGGAAGCTATTAAGAGACATGTATGTTAATTACAAGTACAAGAATCAAGTGAGAATTGTGATAACATCGATGACAATCCATAACTATATTAGAAAGGTTGGTAGGTTTGATGAAGCGTTTAACAGGGCACAATAACAATCATACAATCTCATACGATGTGGTACTAGTAGTGAAGTGTACGAAGAAGGTCCAAGTACACGTCACACAAGTGATGATGATTCGTATATGGCAACGATACGAGATATTATTGCACAAGATATAATCACATTGCGGGGATGAATGTAATATGGCGTTATCTATGATTTTTTTATGAATTGTTTACAATTTGTATTTTGCTTTTGTATGAATGTAATTTTAATATTATCATGGTCTAATAAAAAAATTAGAAATATTTTAAAAGAATTTTATATTTTATATTTTATAATAAAATGTTTACAAAATTATAATATGTGTGTAAAAAGACTATTAAGTATAAATTAGTATATGTAAAATAGTAAATTATTGTAAATATGTAAGCATGTCTTTTTTGGTCATTTTACATGTAAAAGTTAAAACGAAAAAAATAAAAAAAAACTTTTGACTTTTGTCTCTCAAAAATAAATCCAAACATATTTTAATAAATTCATTTTTCAAAAGTACTTTTATAAAGAATCTCAAACACCCTCTATATATTCATGGTTCATATCACCCATCTTTTTATCATTTGTTGTTAATTAATCCCTCATTTTAATATTATTTTTTCTTTGGTCACTCTAAACATAACTAATTCTTTTTTTAAAGATGTTATAAACACATTAATTAGAGAAGACTAGAGTAAATTACACAAGTCATCCTTTGTACATGAGCCAAAAAAATACGTATAATCATTATTTTCAAAAATTAACTTAAACCGTCTCTCGTTTGGTTGAAAGTTGCATATTTCATCCCTCGTTAGTTTAAATTTGCACGCTTCATCCTTTTCGAGACATGAAATGACTATTCTGTCCTTTTTATTCTTGTTTGATTTATTTTTTTTAATTATTTATAATATAAAAAATAAAATAAAAAACACCACCCCACCCACCGTATCCTAACCACTTCACTTCTAAACCCTATTTCCCCAAAAAATTCTTTAATAGAGAAAGCTAAAGCAACATCATCATCACCACCGTCGACCACCACCTCTTTTTCTTCAATAGACATCATCGATGACCCCCTTTATGAGTAAATTATTGGTCGATGATGGTGGGCGGTGATCTGACGGTGGTGATGATGAAGCTTTAGATTGCTCTATCCGAGAATACAGAGGGGAGAGGGGTTAGGATAATGTGGGTGAGGTGTTGTTTTTTATTTTATAAATAATTTAAAGAAAAATTAAATAAGTCAAAATAGAATAAAAAGCAGAATAGTCATTTCATGTCTCACAAGTAATGAAACGTGTACATTTAAACTAACAAGTGGTGACATGCAACTTTTAACCAAACGATATACATTTTGAGTTAATTTTTGAAAATAAAGACTGAATGTGGATTTTGACAACTACATGAGAGACGATTTACTTTAGTTTTCTCTAACTAATATGTTTATAGCATGTTTAAAAATATTGGTGTAAACAGCAAAGGAAAAAAAGATGGATATAAAATGCCAATATATTATGTTTGGTACATTTGGCTTACAAAAGAAACAACCAAAAAGAAATTAAAATCTAAGTATATATCAAAATAAACAAAAATATTATAAAAAGGTAAACAAAGTCTCAAGAAGAGAACCTATCAAACAAGATGCATACCATTCTTCTAACCATCGATGGTTAATAAGCTTTATCCTCTTCATTTTCTTTGCAAGCAGGTACTTCTCCCCTATCAATTTGAAAATTAACAGTTTACACTTCCAACCATAACAGTATAGAACATGACATACAAGGAGGAACTAAGAACATCTATCCTGATAAAACCTCAATAACCTTACACAATAGGCATGCCAATATAAATATGCAAATGTTGGAGGACCATTCATAGTCTAATTGTTCGCAAATTGAAAAGGATAATTACCGACGTCGGATCCACAGGTACTCCAACGTCAAAGCTATGATCAGCCCATAGGCCAGAGACTAATATCTTCCTATCTCTTCTGGCAGCAACACAAACGGGATCATCCTGCAACATACAACACGAAGATATCTATAGTTAAATCATCAATAGCTGAAACTGGATAAAGAAAAACGGGATCCGGTAGAAGAAATAGTTGTTTTCAAATTTTAAAAGAAATAGTTGTTTCCTCCGAATACAAAGGAAAACCATTAAAGTTTAAAAAATTTTAATTTAAATTTTGTTATTATTATATATCAATTGCCAACAAATTCACAGAAGTTATGAAATTGTCATAAAATTTGCGAAAATATTAAACCACTTGTGAAATTAGCACATGAAATGTTATGCATAAATTGCAAACTAAAAAAAACATAAATGAATTCTCAAAATAAGTAGTTAATCGAGCACATAACATAATTTGTGAGCATATTAGAAGTCGTATAATTTAGTTTAGTTTTATATGTTCAAATTTTAAAGAATCTTTTCCATATATGACTTCTACTATCCTTATCCTTATAAATTATATTGTGTGCACAATTAACTACTTATTTTGAGAATTCATTTTTGTTTTTTTTTTAAGTTTGTAATTTATGCATAACATTCCACGAGCTGATGAGCATCAGTTATATATTTATAAGAGATAATTACAAAATAGTCAATTTTCTTAATTACTTTGTAAAAAATAGTCTAAAAACCCCAACATTACATAAATAACCATAAAAAATCGCATATGGATTAAGCCCATCTGCGATTTCCCCATTTGATCTGCGAATGTATAAGTTGGAAAAGCATGGACGCGCATTATGAGTTCTACTTTCGCCGAATGGTTTTTTTTTAGTTTTATTTTTTATTTTTTTGGTATAAATACCGTCACACCTGACTAAAATCGCAGATGAACTTAGTCCATCTGCGATTTCCTCTGAAGTTCATCTACGATTTTGGGGTTTTTCGTTTTTTTTAACGAAAGTATAAGTGTTTAAAGCACATATACGCAATAGTTCAAACAGTGTAATTTTCTGTTTATCTCTTTATCTGTGCTTTAAACACTTGTACTTTCGTTAAAAAAACGAAAAACTCCAAAATCGCAGATGGACTAAGTTCATCTGCGATTTTAGTCAGGTGTGAGAGTATTTATATTGGAAAAAATCAAAAATACTAAAAAAAACATACGCAAACGTACAACTCATAATGCGCGCCCGTGCTTTACCGATTTGTACATTCGAATATCAAATGGGGAAATCGCAGATGGGCTTTACCGTGCTTTAGTATAAAAGTTTAAATAATTTTGTAATTGTGGTTCCCACGGGTTATAAACTAATATTCTAATAAAAGAATAGGTTGATTCTCCTTTTGCATGTGTCATCTTATTAGGCATCATAATTAATGTCATGCCACATGTCAATTTATTGATTATCCATTTTAAATTTCAAATTTCAAATTTTCCACTCTAATTACATTAAATTAAATAACATTAGAATAACAATTAAAATAAAATTAATACAGATTATAAGGTCACGTATTTATTTAAATCAACGAT